GGCGAAATGTTCGAATCTTTTGGAAAGAAGAAAGAATCACAAAGTTGTTGAGGTTAATTCACTTAGATGTTAGTGGCACTTGTCCACAACATAATACTACTCATGTTGTATGACATTCACCGAAGCTCACTCTCGGTTGGACTATAGTTTATTTTGCATAAACACAAGTCCGAATACTTTGCAAAAGGTTTCAAAGAATTCAAGAAATGTAAGTAGATGAGTAAGACGTCTAAAGTATTTACCTCCTTAGATTTGATCCAAGGAAAAAGTAACACTTTAGATTAATTTCCTTGAAAAATATCAAGGAAAGTAGCATCGTAAGATAATGAATTTCTCCATTAGGAGAAGAATGAACATAAATAAGATTTAGTTCGTTGGACATTATCAATTACCCATATATATATGATATATACTTCTAAGACAACCTAGTTCCTATACCACAAGCTCCAAGGTAGTCCAGAAGGATTTATAAACCGTCTCAGTTGAATGGTTTGGACATAATATGGGTTTCTGAAACCATTATTAAGATAGTCTTGATAATATATGTCTAAAACTATAAATCACAAGACAGGTTAGTTGTAGAGATCCATCCATCATGGATCTTAGCAAGCTAGTGGGAGCTATAAGCGTCTTATGAGAAAAGATCAATTGTTTGATTTCTCATAAAGATGTAAATGAATCTTTTGTTTACTAGGTTTACAAAAGATTAGTGGGAGTTGATCATATTCCTAAATTTGAATATATATACATGATATATATTAATTTTGAAAATGAAAGGAATTCTTCATCGTTAAAGTTATGACTTTAAACATTCTATAATGATAGAATGTATATGGGAAACATAGTCTATATACATGGGATGGAAATCTATAATGATAGATTTCAAGATATAATTGGATTATATCAATCCCTAAAATAGACAAGAGATGCTAGGAAGTTTCTCATATGATGATAAACTTCAATTAGAATAACAATTCTAGTGAGACTAGGAAGTTGTTCTTCTCAAAAGGAATGTACCCTTTGACTCCCAAAGAAATAATGCGTAAATAGAATCCTTTATGCATACGCAGAAAGGTGATTTATGTATTTCATATTGTATGAAAACATTGATATAAGTTGTACCTAGAACGGTACAAGATGATATCAGTGCAAGCCCAGGATCAGAACCATGGCAACTGTCAAGTGAATCCTTAGGTATTTAAGAAATACTAAGGATGGATTCCTCAAGAATGAGGAAGAATTAGAGTAACGTAATGGAAGCGTAAATGTATTAGATTATGAATCTAATCCATCATAGAATATCTCTTCATTATCAATGAAGTGATAATGAGATATCTCTTTATTATGACTAAAGAGATATTTGGGTGGAAACGTTAAAAGTAAATGACTTTAATGTGTTCCATCATGTATGCAAAATATATTGCCATATAGAAGCTTACAACATTGTTGTTTGGATGGGAAAGTTCATTCATGAACTCTCCATTCGGTTCCAACCAGAAAGTGTATGACACTAATGGGGCGATAGCTCAAGCCAGGGAATCAAGGTCTCATCAAGGTCCGAACTCAAATGAGAGACTGAACCACATGATTGAGAATCATGTATAATGGTGACGTTGTTATTCTCAAGGTTGCTTCTATGGATAACATATAGATATCCATTGTCTAGGCCTACTACTCAGCCATTTATGAAATGACTACAGAAGAGGTATCATCACTGATGACTAAGCTGATTGGCTCTAGTGCAAGTGGGAGATTGTTGGAAATGTGCCCTAAAACCAATCATATGTACTTTATGGACATTTCACATGTTAAACTAATCTAGTTTAATATTAAAGGCAAACATTATTGTTTGAGCCGTCTCATATAAATGTTATATTCTTAAACGATAAGTCCAAGGAATATGTGATTGGAAGAATGCGATCTAAAGAAGTTAGATTCATGAGACCATTCTTTCGTTGACACATCTTAAACGTTCCTGATCATAGGATTGTCAATTGGGCATTGACAGTCCGTTAAGATCAGTACGTGCTATGTCTTCTCTCAGGGAGAGTGACTAGTCTCGAGTCATTGGTGTGTGTGACATCAAGACAAGTACGTAGGTGCTCAATAGAGAATGAGTTCACTGAACACAATCAACGAAGAGTTCTCATATTCATGTCACATGAGAACTCATGGTTGGGATAATGCAAATTAGTCTTTTGACCTGAGGCATCACAGTTGTCTTGTGGTTAGGTCCTTAATCTTTGATTATGTCATAGCCACTCCATCATGAGGGTGTCCATGGCATCGTTGGGGTTAAGCCACTTAGCCATGGAGGCAAGTGAATGCGCAACAAGGGATCTCTAACCTTCAAACTGTTTGAGGGAGAATACTCTATGATATGATTTTGAATCTTTGGCCAAAGTATGAATGAGATTTAGGAATGTGTTCCAAATCACGTTCAAGGTAATCATATAAGCACAAGACTCACATTGGATAGTAGACATGAATAAACTATCAATCCAAACAATGTGGTCGAGAGTATTGTATTAGAGAAAGCCCGTATTGCATTTGTAATCCTAAAACTGAATAGGTTCTCCACCTTTTCTGATTAGCTTGGGTAACCATGACATGGTGCTAGGCGTCAACCATGGTTTGTGGAAGCCCTAAAAGTGTATTATCACTAACGGGAGAATTGAAAGTAAGTTTCAATTCACAATCGATTTGAAAGAGTTTGAATCGCCCACTGCCTCGCTAAAAGGAACCTAATGGATCGTTCACCGAGTAAGGTAGAGTTTGAAGAAACAACGGAGATGAGTAAGAATAATTAAATGGTTTAATTATTTATCTAAGGCTAGGATTAATTAATATGTTAATTAATCAAACGAATAAGTTCGTTAAAGACCTCGGGTTAGTTTTGGGCCGCAAGGCCCAATGGGATTTGAATGTCAAGCCCATTAACTCAAGTTGTATGACAACTTGAATAAACAAAGGGCTTGAAAGCCCAATAAACCCTATGGCCGGCCATGATTAGAAGAATAGGGCTTTTGGTCCATTAGGTCACTTATTTGAAGGGACTATATAAAGGACTTTATAGCCTAAAATTTAGATATGGTAATTTTTGGGGAAAGGATGAGAACACAAGCTCTCCTTTCTCTCTAAAAATTAGGCCACCTTGGAGGGATCATCTAGCAATCAAACTCCTCCAAGGTCACTCATTTCTTCTTCATTATGCCTTGGTGATGAATCATTAGAGGTTCTCAATTTTGGGAACTTGGAGAAACCTTTTCATCCATCCAAATCCATGGATCTAAGATGCAAGGAATGAAGGCCCTCTCTTTGGGTGATTAGCCTTTGCTTATGCAAAGAGGAATCTACAAAGGTATTGATTTCTCAACTCACTTTGTTTTGAGTTGAGTCTTGGTTCACCTATCTACTAGGCTTTGAAGTTCATGGGTTAAGTTTTGTTTTTGAGTGCATATAAACATGATTCCGCCTTTTAATTGTTAATTGCATGTTGTTGATGTTGCTCAAATGAACTTGTTTTTCACAAATCTTCCTTCACAAAGCACATGCAGTGCTAGGGCCGGCTGTTGCTACTATCTTGGAGGAAGTGCCCACCTTGGCCAAGACAAACCTCCCCTTACATCCAAAAACAAGAACAGTGGTCGTTCTAGAGGAAAAGGTATGATTATGTTGTTGGCAACTTCTTCGAATAAATTCTGAATACTAATAACTCTTATTTCAAGATGATGACGGCGATGAAGTCCCCTTAACGAGCCACTCTTGACCGACCAAACCCCTTACCACTCATCCTCATCTTGTGGTTGAGGTAGCCGTTCATGTTGATCTTCCTGTAGCAGACCATGGGAAAATGCCTCTCGTCGAGCCTGAAGCAACAGCGGAGACACCGATCCATCCACAAGATCAAAACCTTGGCCTTCCTCTTCAAGAAGTCACTTCGACTTTTGTAAGGCTCGATCCCTTTCTCTCATTAGTTTTACTATAAAAAGTCTGAACCAAGAAAAATACTAAATGTCAGGTGCCTAACTATTCATTTCACCGACAATTCTATGCGCCAAAGGGTGTTATCTATATTTCATGGCCACCTCAGTGGTCGTTAAACATGGATAACCACCATCAGCCGCGTGAATTGAGAAACAATCTTAAACACTGGGCTCGCCCATTGAGCTCTCTAGGTTTGAGCAATGAACGAGGGGACATGGCTGAAGTTTCCTCTCGGCAGGTTTAAAACAAACTCCCTCTGTTATGTTCCTTATAATTTTCCTTCTATGTAAAATCTTTTCGTATGTAGCCTTCATGGGAGGTCGAGCTTGATGCTCTACTCTTGAATATTTCTGGAGCAGCCGGGTCTTCTGCCACGTCAATGAAGCCTTCGGAGACCGTGGTCGAATCTAATGCCTTTGCCAAGTTGCAAGAAATCCTATCCCTCTCTGCCTCATAGGTCCTCCAATGTAAAGGCCTCGACTCCGTAAGAGAGTGCCTGAACGACCTTGCAGCCGACGGCTTAATGAGCACCGAAAATGTCGTCTACTTATCCGATCTCCTGGAGCGAACCCGACAACACTTTATTACTTTTGAACAAGCTCTTCGGGCCCAGGATGACCTAAAGGCTGCAAAGATTATTCATGAGGCTAGTTGGTCGGAGGTTGAGGCCATAAAAGCAAAGAAAGCATAGCTAACTAACTTTGATCACCAAATTTCAGAGCTTCAACGTCAAATTACCGAGCTTCAACAGCAAAGGTTGTTGTTGCTTCAAAACGCGAAGAGAATTTTGAGATGAATAAGGCTCGACTAACGGATTTCGCGGCTAGCATAAAGCAGATCTAGCAACTTTAACTTAACAAAAAGACGAGGCAGGCCGAAATCATAATGAGCGAAGTAAGGTGGTTGGATTTGGAAGCTGTTCTTGAAGCCTTTCTTCCTTTGACCCCCTAGGATTTTAGGAGTCTTTTGTAATTTCACTTGTACATCTTTTGTAAAATCAATGAAATGATCTTTTATTCTCGCATCTCCCAAGTGACTGGGTAGTATTTCTTTAAAAATTTCCCTTTGATTGGCAATCGCTCGACAATCTTCTTATGTGCCACTAATAAGTTATAAGCGTCAAGCCAAATTTCTTCCAAGTCTTCCAACTTTTGTCTCATTGCTTGACTGTATTCGGCACTGAACAAACTACTTTGTCCAATCACTCGCAATGCGTTTGTACTTAGCTTGACCTGTAACATAGCATCTTGTCCATAGGTTAACATGTATAGAGTCGTTCCGGTGGCTAATCGAAATGAAGTTCGATAGGCCCATAGTGCTTCATTTAGCTTCAAATACGACATACCAAGTCTCTCTCTTGCCATTTTTTCAAGAATACCGATCAAAACATTATTACTTGCTTCAGCCTGCCTATTCACCTGTGGGTAATATAGCGTAGATTGCTTGAGTCGAATATTTAGATTCACCATGTACTCCTTAAACATGTCGGCTATAAAGATTATGCCATTGTCAGTTATGATCGTTTTTGGCATGCCAAATCTGGCCATAATATTTTCCTCTACAAAATTGCAAACTTCTTTAGTTGTTAATTCAACGTATGATTTTGCTTCAACCCACTTAGTGAAGTAATCGGTTACCATTAGTAGCGTGTTTTGCTGCTCCAGAAGACGGCATGATTTTGCCGATTACGTACATTGTCATCCTCTAAACGGCCATGGTTTGGTAACTGAGTAGAGTAATTTGACCGGGACTCTCTGTATAGATCCATGAATCTGACACTGTATGCATCCTCGTGCATATTCGATGCAATCCCTCAATATACTCAGCCAAAAGTATCCATGTCAGCGAAGCAGCCCACCTATCTTACGCCCGGATTGGTGAGCTCCACAAATCCTTTCGTGTACTTCGGCGATTGCTTGGGCAGCCTTCTATGAGTTGAGGCACAGTAACAATAAACCATCATCACCCTTTCGATATAACTCATTCTAGTATGACACGTAGTTTGTGGCATGGACTCTTGTCCTCTGGTCATGTTTGTCGCTGGGGTTATCGAGATATCATATAATCAACCTTCTCCAATCATCTGGCAACATCTCGACAACACATACTTCTACGGGATCTCCTCATTCAAACAACGATGGTAAGGACATCACTCGTGTATGTATCACGTGATTGCGCTGGAGAACGTGCTGATTAACCAAGGCTGGGTAAGATCGTCGTCCTATAGGTATTGCCTGGCTTAGGTCGCCCCCTAACAGTTGTGCTCTGGAGGCTATTTGAGTGAGTTCGTTTGTATCAGTGTTTCGAACACGCGGAATGTGCTTAAATGTAATTCCCTCAAACGACTAGGCTAAATAGGTGGCAACCATGTGATAGGGCGCCAAAGTACAACTCATGCAACGAAAAATGCCATTTGGTTAGTTAATCACCTATTCGGAATCACCAAGGACGAGGACATGGGTTGCTCTTAAGTCATGAAGGATGTGAAAGCCGATGATAAGAGCTTCAGACTCGGCCTGATTATTCGTACAACTGAAGTCTAACTTAAGAGAGAGATACCAATTGTAGTGGTCGGGAGATTGAATGATGATGCCAACACCAGTCGAGGTTGAGGTGCTAGAACCATCAAAGTGCATTGTCCAGTAGTTGTCTTGTGTTTCGACCAGTCTGATGTCGACTTCGTTGCGCCCGAAATCATATGGAGAGTGGTGCTGGGCCAAAAAATCGGCTAGAGCTTGTCCTTTGACGGCTTTTTAGGGAACGTATTGTAAACTGAACTCTGATAATGCCATTGTCTATTTCCCAATTCGGCCTTTTATTATAGACCGAGTAAGCATGTAATGAATAACATCTATCTAGGCGGTGACCTGCGTAACTGATGGGAGCATGTAATGTCGAAGTTTTGACATGATGAAAAACAAAGATAAAAGAAAATTTCTCGATGGGTGAATAATTGATCTCAGGTAAATTCAAATTTCGGTTAAGATAAAAGATAGCTTGTTCATGCCCAGCATCATTGTCTTGTGCGAAGAGGCAACCGATGGACTCATCGGCCGCCGAAATGTATAGCTTAAAAGGCCTACCGCGTTAAGGCAGTACAAGGACCGGTGGCTTTGTAAAGGAGACCTTGAGTTGCGTGAAAGGTGCCTGATGTTCTTCTCACCACTCAAACCTATCTGAATCCTTACGTTTCAAGAACGTAGAGAACACTTTCATTTTACCCGCTGAATTAGGTATGAAGCGCAGGAGAAAATTTATCTTCTCGAGTAACAACTAGAGTTGCTTCTTGGTCGTTAGAGGTGGAGCGCTAATGATTGCGCTAGCTTTATTTTCGTCTATTTCAATGCCACGATGGTGCACAAGAAAACCCAAGAAGTTACCGACCGATACATCGAATGAGCACTTGGTCAAGTTCATTTTGAGATTATGCTGGCGCATACGAAGGAACGCTTGTCGAAGATCATCCAGATGCGTTCGACGGCTCTTCGATTTCATTACCACATCGTCAATATATACTTCTATGATCGAACTAATCAAATCATGAAATATGGTATTCATAGATCGTTGGTATGTAATACCGGCGTTCTTAAGGCCGAATGGCATGACGACCCATTCATAGGTGCTGAGTGCCCCCGGGCAACGAAAAGCAATTTTATGAACATTAGCTTTGGCTATAAAAATCTAGTAGTAGCCAGCATGGCCATCCATGAAAGACAACATTTCATGATTGGCTACAGCATCAATTAACAAATCTAAGATCAGCATAAGGTATTCATCTTTGGGAGTTGCCAGATTCAAATTACGAAAATCGATACAAATATGTAGGGCACCGTTTTTCATTAGCACTGGGAGGATATTGGCCAGCCACTCGATGTATCTAGCGGTCTGAGTAAATCCGGCTTTTAAAAGTCGAACTAGTTTGCCTTTTATGCCGCGTTGTACTTTGGTCGAGAATCGACGAGGGGGCTATCGGAAAGGTTTACAACTAGCTTTGATACGTAATTCATGTTCAACAAGGGTCCGATCGAGGCCCGGCATCTCATGATAACTCCAAGCAAAACAATCTTTAAACTCGTTTAGTAATTTACAAAGTTTGATCTTCATGGAATGAGGTCATAACGCACTAATAAACAACGGTCGAGGGTCATCAGGCGTTCCAACATTTATTTTTTCTAATGGGTTCTTGACTTGGGGTCGACTATCTTCAAGTTTGGCCGGTGCGGCCTAAACTTTATCTAACGATAATACTGGGCCGTTATCTCCCTCGGCAAAAAATTCGATTAAGTTTATGCCCGAATGTGGATACTTGGAAATAGCATACCAATGAGCCAGCAGACGTTCCATGGTGGATAAAACTGCGGCCCAGCACCTTTCTCATTTGGCGTCAGTCGTCAATGTTGGTAATTAAGTCTGCCAAGCCGAGTCTTGCAGAATCCTGGTCTACAATCTCGGCGCCTACCTTGATGGCTTTTTGAACTGAGATCCAAGTTGGCCATCCATCCTCATTAAACCCCTGTAGGGTAATGTAGTTGACGTGATCATCACAATAACAGGCTGGAATCATGTTGGTTTCGAATGGCTAATTATCGGCTGGGTGGACCACAACCGATTTACCATCCCAAAAGATGAGAACTTAGTATAATGATGAAGGAATACAGCTCATTTGATAAAGCTAGTCATGGCCAAGCAATGCATTATATTCGGTCTTTGAGTCAATTATAAAAAATGCGATCAAGTGGTTGCGACCTGCAACTCTTACCTCTAATGGGAGTGGTTTAGGACTTGTCACCGACGAAGCTGCTCATGGTTATTCCTGATGGTATGAGTTCATCATTGGAGTGGCGTAATGCCTTCATGATGGAGACAGGCATAATGTTAACTGTGGCCCCACAATCGACAAACACCTTAGAAATCGGGTATCCTTCAATATGAGCCGCAACATACAACGACTTTAGATGTTGGAGATTAACAGAAGAGGAGCGGGGGAACAATTCGGTCAGGGCTATTTTAAGTTTAATCCTTACTCGCTTGCCCATCTTCTTCGGTGGCGATGAAATCAACTTGTGTTGCTTCCTCAGTAACTACGTCCCCGTCCAAGAAATTTGGCTAGTGTGTGGTTGGTCGAAATTTAGCAGGTAAAACATAGACCATGCTGATTTCCATGTTTTTGAGGACTGAAGGACCCATCGGGTCCTAGTCGTCTTCCTCCGGGTGATCAAGTGTAGTCTCATGCTTTTGAGCATTCTTGTCATGGTCATCTTTTGCCTCATCAGATGTTTGCTCTTGTCATGGTCATTTTCTCCCTAATCGTTTCATTTTGGTTCTCGTCTTCAATCATGGTCGTTGCTGAGGTTTGATTTTATCCCTATAGTGTTTTACGGGCTCGTTCTTCATAGGCGATTCGGGTGTTCCTTATGTCTAAGTACTCATTTAAACGCGCCACGTGATCATTCTCATCGGCCGTAAGGCCAAAGAGAGATACGGCCAAGAAGACTTCGAAATGATATCGTAAATGCTGAAGGTTTTCAAGGGAAAAAGGAAGCTCGATGGTGTCTATGTCTGTGTATGGGTTGACCTCGAAGCTGAGGACCTGAGTCTCACGTATATGCTGGAACCGAGCCTTTATTCCTAGATCAGTGGTTTTCTGGATAATCTGTTCAGCATCAGGGCAAGTTAATGCCAAGTTGAGGGCTTCTTGACATGCCTTGGGCAGGCCGTACAAATCATTGGCGGAATGTTTCTTGTGAAATTCTCTCATGTACTCCAAGGATTCGTCGAGGAATGGAGGGTGTAGATTTTGCCAGACTTTTATTAATGGCTCTTGCGGAGGGTAATGGGGAAGCTTACTTTCGGCTTCTTTTCTAAAATGCTTGAAACGAGCTTTCATCTCCCCAGGCCAAAGAATGAGTTTGATGCGTTTCTCGAACTCCTCAATGGTGGTTTCAAAGTCATGATCAACTACCTTTTTCTCTTGAAGTAATTCGGCCATAATGGTCAGGGTTTGTTGGTCATCACCTCTTCCTGCTACCTCTTTCGGCTGCCACCTGGTAGTTGAAGTAAGGTATGCTACCTGTCGTGGAGCCATACAGTCTATCCGCTGGCAGTGACGTTTCTATGATTTGGATAACGTCGTATATATGCCAATAGGAGAATTGTAACTATACCAACGTTGGTCGCATGGCTCAGATGGCTGGAAAGTTTTTTTACTCACCGATGAAATCGAACTACTGGAGTTACGCGAGTAATAATCCTCATTTTAAAATGGCGCGTCAAAGTCAAGACGTCGTCTGGTTGAGGTTAGGCCGTTCGTTCGTACCTGAGGACCGAGCCTTTCGAACGCCTTATGGCGCTAGCAGGCACCGAGTTCCTTTGGAGATGCTACTGTGGCCGTGGACTATTACCGTAGTGTTGGAGCCTAAGTTGTTTTCTCCTTAGGTTCGGTTAGGACGACACATGTTTTACAACGGCCACACAAAACCATCGGTCCATCAGCTTCTTCTGTACTGAAGTCTGACATAGATTCGATTATGGCCAGTCCCGAAAACTCCGTAGGCGATTCATTTTAAAATAAATCAATCTTAAGTCACGGCTAAGAGTTCTGCTTTAGGACATGTTGTACTGAACTTAGCCTTCCATTTCC